GGTCTCACATAGGCCACCGTATGTAATGTCGGCACTTAGGAGGCTGAGACAACAGGACTTTGAATTCAAAGGCAGTCTGAACTACACAGAGAGACTGTATTTTACCTCAGAAAGGAGGTAAGAATTAATGGCATGTGCTCTGCATCAATAGACTACTAGCTCAATACCATCACTAAAACGAAAAATACTTTATTCATTTTTTAAAAAATTAAATCATCAAGTACTACTGAATTTGAGGTCAGAAAAAAAAGTACCAAGCATCTATATGTTGACACAAGTGTTACCAATTCTTCATATAGAGAACAGTCAGTCAAAATTTTATGGCATTTGTACCACACAAATAAATGGTTCACAACAACCAGATAACTTTATTCTGTACATGTGTTAACAGAGGAGAAGAACTCAGCTCTGTGAAAAAGAGAGATACTGAATTCTAGTGTTGGCTGTAACCTTACTATGTAAATTTAGCCAATTCATCTAACCTCTTGTGCCTCAGGATCTCCATCACTACAGTGTTAGATCAAACCATTTGTAAGATACACTCCAGTTCTATGAATTTGTGATTGTGAATAAGACATAATCTAAGTTACATTACAGTATTATCACACATGTAAAGCTTAACATGAGTAACTAGGATGTGAGCTTAGAACCTCTGCTTTGCTTACTGTCATTTTGTTATGTCTGTCTCCCTGTATCTTTTAAAAATGAAATACAAGATACTCATAAAAAAACAGGGCAGTTATCTTACTCCCTTTGTTGATTATAAACTTTCACCACAGTATCTAATAGTGGTCTATCAGAAGACACTATTAAGGTATCTACCACTACTGACATTACTATAGGAATGAGATTATAGATTATCTGAATGATAGTGGTAGTTTAGTTTCGCCCATATTCTATCTTTTGCCACTTTCAGAAAACAATAAAAACAGTAGAAAATGTTTCTCATGTGTCTAATTTCTTGGCAGGAAGTATACTGACTTGCAGCTTACAAACAATTTGAACTACCTTCTAAAAACAGCTAAAATAAAAGACTATTAAGAACGTCAGTGTCAATCACCATGGTGAACACCTATAATCTCATTACCAGAAGACAGAGGCAGGAGGATCTAGAGCTCAAGGCCAACATGGGTTACACAGGACACTCTGCTCCAAAAATAACAAAAAATACCAGCTCCATTAAAGTAAATCAAAAGACCATGCCATGATGCCAACTGAGAGAATCAAGTTAGCTTTTAAATTTTTCTATTTTAGAATGAAAAAAAGACTAAAAATGATAACAGAATTTCAAAACAAAATAATAAATTAACACTGGTTAATAAATTGTGCATTGTTATCTTCAAACTAGTTGTTCAGATTATAAGATATGGGCATGAAAAAAAATGATCAAACAATGAAAGCACAAATGGTTCCTCTTTTGGTTTTTTTTGGAGGGGGGTACCAGGGAATCAAACTCACAACTTTGCACTTGCCAGGCAGGAACTTATGCCACTGAGCTAAATCTGGAGCTCCTTTTGATTATCTAACAGAGATTAGTAGCGAAGTTATCAAATTATTTTTAAAACGCCATTATATTCAGGCATGGTGACAAGAGGATGCAAGTTTGAGTACAGCCTGAGCAACTTAATTAGGAAGATCTTGCCTCAAAATTTAAAAAAGAAAAAAAAAACTAAAAAGGAGCTGGTGATGTACCTCTAGTGAAGGCCTCTGATCAAATCCCCAGTATCCTACTGAAGGAGACCATTATGTTCATCTCACTCAAGTAATTTTGATAGTGAATTTAATCTTCATTTACACACTTCCTGCTTTCTTATTACAGAACTATGTCACTAAATTAAAATTCAGTCTTATCTACACATTCAATTTTGACTTGATTCTCTCATTATTCCCAAGAAGTTAAATTAAACTAAAAAACACAAAATGCTCATGTGTTTATTTTAAACTCTTAATTAATGTAGCTAGTTGGCACAGTTGGCACACGCCTGTAATCCCAGCACTCTGGGAAGCCAAGGCAGAAGGATCATAACTGAGCCCAGTCTAGTTAATTTAACAAGACCACGTCTCAAAAATAAAAAGGCCAGGAATGTAGTTCAGTGTGAAGATCCTGAGTTTAATCCTGAGTACTTCCAAAAGTATTAATGTAAAATCACTAATTACTGACGATGTTGGTGTTCATTAGTAACTAAAGTAATATCTTAAATGAACATAAGATTTCACCCTCCAAAAAAAAATCAATGTTGTAAAAAGTGATGGCAATTTTAAAAATTAAAATCATGAACAAAAAAGAAAAATATTATCTTTGTTATAATTGATGAAAATCATTTTGTCCAAACAAATGTCTTGTCATGAACCAGTGTTCCTACACAGAGATGATTTGAAGGTGTGTCTATAGCACTGATTTGTCCGCAGTAAAGGTACACACCTGAATTGAAGTAGCAATATTGGCCCCCCTTTTACTTTCAAAAGTATCTCAATTTGGATAATTTAAACGATCCTTTCTTCCTAAAGTCAAGTAGAGATCAGGAGGAAAGGAAATGTTTCATTCCAGAAAAATTTAGAACATTAAACATTTCTCCCCACTCCTGGAAAGTATGTTCATCATCAAGCAAACTCCATTAGACTGGAAAATGTGAAAGCAACATAATCTGTATTTGTGAAGTAATAAGAATTTCATGAATCTATACATATACCAGGCACTATCTACTAATATTCATCTTATACATATGTAGATAGTTATAACTAAAGAGATTAGAATCTTCAGTTGAAACATTATAAAATCTTAAGCCCAAAAAACGCCAACTATGTATTTTAAGAGGAAAACTACAAGCTTCCACTCTGGAAGGCAGAGGCAAGAGGACTTGTTTTAGCACAGCCTGGGAAACTTAGGGACTGATCTGAGACCCTATCTCAAAATAAAAAATGGGCTGGAGATGTAGCTAAGTACTGCAAGAAAAACATATTCCCAAAATCCAGATACTTTAAAGTACAGTGGTATCTTGGCTCACAAACAGAAGAGTTTGGTAAATTTTTTTCAAACTCTACATCAGGTAACAAGCACAATAGCAATTATCTTTCCCACACAAGCACAAATATGGCTATCATTTCAAAAATCATAGAACAAGCCTGTAATCCCAGTACTTGAGAGGCTGAGGCAAGAGGATTGTCGAAGGTTTGAGATTAGCCTGGGCTACAAAGTGAGCTGAAGGACAGCTAGAACAGCATAGTAAGATCCTGCCTCAAAAAGACAAAAAAAATCATAGAGTAAGTTTGTGAACTGAGTTATCACTGTATATCTCAGTTGATGAAAGGAAAAACATACTGTTTGACTATCTGAAAAACTTCTATATTCAAGGTTGAAAAAATAATGAAAAAATGGTCACAGAATTTTACTGCCATGTTACACTGGTTGCCAAAAGTTCAAAAGTACTGTGTAAACTGCATAGTTTTTTAAATCAATTGGCCACAAGATTTTGGAAATCTCATATTACACAGAAATGTTAAAGAACTACACTTACAGAAGAAAAACTTGTCCCCATATTAGGCACTGGCCCCAAATTTTAGCATTTTATTGGTCTGATTTGACAAAATTTTCATTTTCTTTTCTTTTTTTGGGGTCTTTTTCGTTTTTATTGGTACGAGGGATTGAACTCACAACTGCCTGCTTGCAAGGTAGGCGCTTATGCCGCTGAGCTAAATCCTCAGCCCCAAAATTTTCATTTTCTAATTTGTTATCCAATCAATGATAAATCAAAGGAACAGGAAGCTGGTCAGTGATCTTTTTTATTTCCCAGTCCACCAGGGCTATGAAAAAAAGTAACGTACACATAAATCCATAAATACAAATGCCTTATTTAACTTGTGTTATTTAAGGCTTCACATGTTCAGTAATCTAAAAGATACACACCAACTTAACATTCCCAGATATTTCACTGTTTCTTAAAATTTTTTCTGATTCTAAATTAACTTCATAAAATTATATGAAGAACACTAATAGTTGAAACAGAAATAGTAACAAAAAGTGGAGTAAGTGCTAGATAAGTCTCATTCGTTTCATAAAGCAGATTACTTTTAAAAGTCAATGAAAGCTTTTGATGCAATATAACCTATAAAGTTCTCATTTTCATTTCACTTCAAAACTAACTGAAAAGTGAAACGGTCTAGATAGAAGCACTGAAGTTTGGTGGCTTCAATGTTAGACAGGTGATAAAAATGAGGATTCCATTACTTACTAGCTTTTTAACTGAGAACAAATTACTTAACCTCTTCTGAGTCTCAGTTTTCTCCATAATCAACATCCTCATGAGCCATTGTCAGAAAATAATAAAATAATGCATGTAAATCACAAGGCCTAGTCCATAAGCCTTCAACAGAAATTAGTTCTTTACTTAGGGTAACTGTACATCCCACTTTGCCTTGGATAATTCAACTATGCACCTGTTCAAGAATTATTAATAATGTTCCTTTTAATTTTAAAACTGTCCTGGTTAGAACAATATGTTGAGGCTGTACCTTAAAAATAGTATGACAAAAATTAATACCATTAGAGTATTATACACCAATTTTGATTTTTAGAATTTTGAAGGGGAAAAAAATCAAATATCACATAAAATATTTAAGATCAAATGCCTGTAAGATATTCTATGGTTTTTTCAGTTATTCTCCAAATAAAGGCTTTTTTATTTATTTCGACTCATGTCATTGCCATGACTTAGGGCAGCAAATATTTTTTCTTCTTTCTGTTCTGTATGGGTACTGGTAAAGTCCAGTTATTATTTTAAAAAAGTAATATCCATAGATAAATCAATGATGAGTCCCAGGTAGTAAAAAACATTACATTTTGAACTCCCAGTGAAAAGTACCCATTCTCATTATGAAGAATGTCCAACGCCAACAATTTATCAATGAGCCCATTCCACCAAAGGGCCTGTAAAACAACAATAAATATTTAAAAACATGCATTCTACACATAAATCATGAGACGCAACAAAAAATAAAATTACCTGACTGTTATGACATAGTATTGAAATACAATAAACTGGATTTTAGTTTTCTTCACACTCTGCTCTAGAAAAGAAAAGAATCCATTATTCTTCTTCTTTTTATAAGATACATTTTCTTTGAAATAAGATATATCCTTAAAAAACATATCCTATGTATTTTAGTTACATACATACACACATACACACATACCATAACCCAATTTAAATAAAAGTATTCGGGTATTTGGGGAGAACAAAAAGGTCATAGGGAACCAGAAGTTATATAAAAGATTTCCTTCAAAGGTAATCTACCTTTCTATTTATTCCTACTTAAAATGGCTCTTTTCCTTATCAGACCAGTAATTATTTTTCAGACTCTGACTACTTATTTCAAGTACTTATTCAGCACATTACACTAGCCTATGGCAGCAACTGAAGAATTAAAAAGCAGCAAAATCATCAATGTCAATGTTTGTGACATTTTGAATAAGAGATTATCCTAAAATCGTGTTTTCTAAAAAGCATCTGTATTTCCTTAGTTTAGAAAACTGATTAGAGTAGGGGTCAGGCTTATAATTGCGCCTGCAAGCTCTTAAGTACCACAGGACTGACCTAACGTATTTGATGGGTTGATTTAAGCAGTTACTTTGTTTGTAATCATGAAGCACTAAAGAAACGATTACATGTAATATTTTTTCCTCCCTTCAATTATCCAAAAGCAATGCGGTTAAGTTTTCTTCAGGAAATGCAGGCTTATTTCCAGCGAAAAATTATTGTGGGGCTTTGCAAATGCTGGATGACGATTTTACAGAAATGCTTCCTCTGGCTCCTAAATGAAAAAATGACCTAAATAACAAATGTGCTAGGCCTCAGATTCCCTGACTAACCTGTGGAATAAGTATGGTCAAACTGTCTAGGAAAGGAACGTGGCTGTCTCCTCCATCTTGAAATTAATCAGCATAAGGGAAAAAGGGACTGAGAGTTCAGGAAGCAGAAGCCCAACCGGTTAATACTAGTTACTAAGCTATGGCGTACGTGGCAGGTACCGCCCGCAGAAGCCAAGACCCTTAGGCTGGCTTTTTTTTTGGTGGAGGGAGGGGTTGGGCTGTTGGCTGATCGAACAGAAATTAACTTGAAAATAATTTGGCCTAATTCCCACCATTACCCAGGGAAAGAAACAAACTTTCAGTGGCCTCTCCCTGTCTTTTGGGGGATCCTTCCAGTTATACCCAGCAAAGGACAGGCCAGGTTATATTAGTCAAGGGGTAAACCACATTTACCTCAGATCCTTAGGGAAGATGTCATCGTAGCCCACGGGCGCCTAATTGGTTTTGCCCTGTGGATGGGTCCAAAACAGGACTTTGCAAACCCTGGAAAAATTCTAAAGGCCCAAGAATTCCTACCATCTAACTTAGAGCAGTCTGATTTTTCCCAAAGCCAAGCTCGCCACGTAAAACGCGGGACAGCGAGAGAAGCCTCCCCAAAGCACAGAAGGGTAAAACCCGAGGCACTCAGATTCTCACGCCTGAGGCCAAAACCCGAAAACACATCCACGAAATTCTTACGGCTCTGGAGGGCCCAGGCTTCAGCTCGTCCAACCGCGAGGAGGAACTAGTACTACCCACCTCCTTCCCCTTCAGAGTCGGTCGACTCTGCCACAGAACTAAAATGGCAGCAGTGACTACGCCACTGAGTACCCCTGCAGCAACAGGCATGGGGTCCACAGGCGGCGCCGAACCTCTGCCACGACGCGTTACTCGGGCCATTTTGAGAGAACGCGGCAGTCGCGGTCTTCCTGTTACATTACCATCCCTTCACTTACTCAGTTTTAAGGTCAGGATCTGACTCGGTTAGTTCGGCCGTTTCCGCTGAGGCTCTTCCTCTCCTAGCTGCTACCGCTTTCAAGCTCCCTCCGATGAGTGGCTGGCTGAGACCCGCCTCTGCCCCACCGTCTGCTCCTAGACTTTGCTCAGGCAGCCATTATCTTCCCCATTGTTACCAAGCAGCAGCCGGAAACGACAGCCCACAACAGGAAGTGATGATGCCTCGCCGCGCGCTGCAGCCCCATTCCCAGCCTGTTAGCCAATCCCAGTCGATTTCTCAAAAAGGTTTGGTGGGCTGAGGAGGGTTTGCGGCGGACTACACGGCTCGGAGGGCGTGGGTTTGGAAAAGGAAAGTCGCTATGACGCTCACCTTGTGACAGGCCCCACCCTCCCCCGCCATTTTGAATTGTGGCGAGAAATTCGGTTTCAGAGAATTGTGGGAACCATCTCGTTCCCATTTTGAAAACTGAAAAACGTCACCGTCTGGCTGCGTGAATGTTTTTTCCGAGAGACAGAGACAAGAGACAGACAGACAGAGACAGAGAGAAACGTAATGTTAGTCTAACGTGCCAAGTCTCCACCACTTCATACAGCATCTTATACTTTATTCAACATACATATTTATTGAGCGCCAACTGTAGATCACGTACCATTGCAGATAGAGAAAATTACACCAAAATTAAAAAACAAAATCCCAGTTATCCTGTATCTTGATAATCTACTGGGAAGATTAGTTTTTTAAAAATAAATTAGATTAATTGATAAGTGCTAAAAAGAAAGTGGGGATGAAGAATGGGACAGCACCCTATAGCGTCAAACAGGAATTGGCAAGGTTTAAAAGTGGTGAGAAAGACTATTTGAGGTGGGAATTCTCTGAATTCTTGGAAAAGGAGGTGATTGTCAGAGGGTGGGAAAATCTGATATTGGTGGAATTCTAAAAAGGCAGTTAAAAAGCCTCTCTTGGATGGTAATTCCTGAAGGAATGGTGGTATCACACCACATACATAGCACTCAAGGCCCGTTGCCCCAGTTAAAAGAAAGCAAAATTTCCAGTTTTCTAGGGTGTTTCTGTATTTTTCCCTCCATTTTCCTGATAAGCCAACTAGGGTGACTTTCTTACTGTTTTGCCAACAAAACTAGTTTCCACCTCAAGTACTTCACCTAGGCTGGAACATTTTCCTTTGATACCTGCTTTCTTCATCAAAGCCTCATAATTGTCACATTCCCAGAGAAACTTTCCCTACTCTTACCTGCTTAGTTTTCCATAAAGCACCCGTTAAAATGTAATATTTGTAGTGCTCTTTTACAAGAAGTAATCCTTTCTATTTTGTTCACTTTTGTATCCCTAGTGACTGCATAATACACCTTCATTTTGCAGAAGAATTTCCACATCAGTATTGTGGAGTTTCATGAGTTTGGAATAAAAGCAAAATTTTATTCTAAGCAATTAAAACAGTATCTCTTGTATGATGCTTACCTTCCCATCTTCGATATTGTCATTTTTGACAATGTAATGTATGATTCAGATGCTGTCTCTACTCAGTTTTTGTCTTATTTTTCAAGACAATGTATTAGAATGTTTACCTGGAATGTGTGAAATGAGGTCTTCAGCGATCTGCAACTGCCATTAAACTTGATATTAAGATTATAGCAGTAACTCATTAGCCGCTCCTTGACATACTCTTGAGGCATACATAGTTTAATGTAGCATATAAAAATTATAACAATGGGAAAGATAAGTGAACATTTCTATAGCCTTAGGGATGCAGAAGGATTTTCTAAACGTAGCATACATCCGTAAAGGGAAGGACTAATAAAATACAGTTTCCTAAATAAAAGTAAAGCTCCCAAAAGTCAAAATACAAGGTTAGTAAAGGTAAAATACAAATGGCATACTGGAAAATATAATATCAACATGACATATGACTGCTTACATGTGATAATATTGTTGTATAATAAAATTTAAGAAATGATAAATGATAAACTGGCAAAAAATTGTATATAGCACCTTATGCAAATCAGACACACGTGCAAATACAGAATTGTTTCTCTGGTGTGAGAAATCAAAACTGTAAATAAAGACCAAAACATATAATAGATATTGTGAAACAGGATAAAGCTCTTCAAATGGGAAGAGAAACGGGGCAGGGGTGTTAAAAAAAAAGAAAGAAAAATGAAAATAAAGCTTTTGTAAATAAGGAGAGAAAGAGGGGTAGAAGGGAGGATAAAACGATGCAGAAAAAGATATAAAGAAAAAACTTAAATATACAGTAAACACATATGGCTAGATATCACAAGTATATAAAAAGTATTAGACTGGTATTTTTTATTTGGTGCTGAAGAATGAATCCAGGGCATTACATATCACTGAACTACACCACAAGCCATAAATTAATTTTTTTTAAGTTGGAGATTTGAGGACAAGGGGGAAGTCACTTAGGTATGACTAACATTACGAGTAAATAAAAAATTGTAGCTGGTGGCACAGCACACTCCAGTAATTCTACAGCTCTGGGAGCCTGAGGTAGGAAGATCACAAGTTCCAGCCCAACTTGGGCAAGTTTGAGCTTGGCTTGGGCAACTCAGAGACTTAGGAGAACTTGTTTCAGTTAGGGTTGGGGATATAGCTCAATGTGAAAGTCCTAAACTCAATACCCACTATTGCAAAAATTTAATAAAAGCTTATTTTTGTTTTATTTATTTTTCAATCTCCAATTCTGAAAAACATGTTTTAAATAAAAATTCACTTATTTGTTTTGCAGTATTCGGATACATAGTGAGTTCAAGGCCAGCTTAAACTACATAGTGAAGCCCTATTTCAAAAGTAATGGGAAAATACTTGGTTGATAAACATCAGGAAAGATGACTACTTAATAATTAGTTAAATATACTAAGTCTACATGATGGAGTACTACATATCCATCAAAATGTGTGGTATTTGTTTGCATATTTCAATGCAAGAAATTTACAAAAGTATGTATGATTGTTTATAAATTAAAAAATATATAAATACACTTTAAGAAACATATAGGTGAGTATACATGCAAATAAAATGTGATGGCAGTATTAGTCATGTTAGCTTTCTTTATCTTTTTCTGTATTGTCTTGAATATTTTACAGTGCTACATATATTACTTGATATTGCAGAAGGGCCACTTTCATTTTTAAATTTGACATGCATGCAAGAGATAACTTATTAGTAACTTAATACTTCCATGGTTCAAATATCCACTTACTTGTTCCTTCTGCATATTCCCCTACCCTTTTGTAAGCATGGAGCTGCTTGCTTCCAGTATCTAGGAAATAGTTGGACATGATGGAGCATGCCTGTAATCCCAGCACTTGGGAGGAAGAGGCAGGAAATGATTTAGTTCATCTCACAGCAGTTTATACCATGATGCCATTCAGTGTCATTCTAGAACCTTATAACAATCACTGACCACTTAGTTTCTCTTTAGCCAAATTGTATTTCCTTACCAGGTGATTTTTACTTATATGTGATCTTTTAAATGATTTTTACACCTTCCTGATCAAGTGACCTTTAGGAAAACATAAAAGAATGTGTATTTCAAGCATATGCTGGTGGACAGGGATATATCGGTAAGACCACACATAAGAAGACTTTGTGCTCTGTGGAATGATAGACACTGAACAAATACTTAACAATATAATGAACATTACAAAAGATATGTGTGTACAAATGGGAGCATGTGAAAGGAGTCTTTAGCTAAGAGAAGCTCCCATTTTTAGTTGAGACCCAAAGGAAGAATGATGCTTTAGGAAGATAAGGGGAGAAACTTGAGAGTGGGGGATAACCTTGTTCAAATTTCCTGGGGTTAAAAAATAAAACCAAAGGAATTGAAGGAATTTTCTCTAGCAAATATTCTATTTTATTTCTTCACAGCACTCCTTCCACTGGAATCTAGTTGGTCTATTTGTTTGTTTACAAACTTAATTTATGTTTATGATCTGTCTGTCTTCCTGCTGGCCAGCCTTTTCCTCTAGAAGTTCAGGGACTTTGCCTTATTCCCTTACCCTTGTGTTTTTGGAGCCTAAATATCAAGTAGACATTCATTCATTTCTTGAATGAATCAGTGAATTGGTTTGTAGTTTCTATTACAGATTTTGGATTTTTTTGTAGGAAAAATTGCAAGTTGTTAAAAAATTTTAAAAAGAGGAGCTGTATGATCTGATTCAAGTTTTTCAAAAGATTGTTTAATGACTGCTATGTGTTTGAAACCTTTTTTTCTATTTTGGTTGAGGGGTATGTGTGTGTGTGTGTGTATATATATATGTGTGTGTGGGAGAGACAGAGAGAGACAGAGAGAGAGACAGAGAGAGAGAGAGAGAGAGAGAGAGAGAGAGAGAGAGAGAGAGAGGAAGAGGAAGGGGGCAGGGTCTCACTAGGCAGTTCACGCTGTCCTGGAATTCACTGGGATCCTCTTGGCCCCATCTCTCAATTGCTAGAATCACAGGGTGCGCCACCACCCAGTTGAATCTTTTTTTTTTTTTTAGATGGAGGATTGTTCATTAAATCAAGAGCCTGTGGATTAAGCTACATTTCCTAGTCCCTTTTTACTTTTTATTTCAAGATAGGGTCTTGCTAAGACATTTAATTGCCCAGCCTAAGTTCAAATTTGTGGTCCTTTGGCCTCAGCCTCACAAAGGGCTGGCATTACAGGCATGTATCTCTTCACCTGGTTGCATTTTTCCGTACAGTAAATAAGATCGCTATTTTAAGATTGTCGTACTTCATTATTTTAAAAGGGGGGGGGTCTCATTTGGTGAAAGACACCCACAAACTGCACACATATTTAATTTAGGTACTTTCCCTAGTACATAGGGGATAATGTAAAAAACTCTTTTGAATAGGAATCACTGACCAAAATCAGTTTAACTTGAAAACCAATGTATATTTAATTTTTTCCTAAGGAGGAAGATAGCGCAATGGAGACAAAGGGAAAAGATTCATCAATTGAGTGATTGATTGATTGATTGATTTCAGTGCTGAAGATCGCACCCACGGCCTCACACAGGCTAGGGAAGAGCTCTATCATTGAATGATGCCACTAACTGCTCAATTCATTAAATTATTCATTTTATTAAGTTATTCATTCATAAATATTGTATGCCATAGCTCTGTGCCAGACCTTGGGGGTATCTATCTATCTATCTATCTATCTATCATAATCTCTGTCCTAAACATGTTC